ATCTTATTAAGTTCTTCAATAAATTTTTTATTTTTAAGAATTGGGAGACATTGTATTAAAAATACAAAGCGAGGTAATACATTCATTTTTATCGTAGATATTCTTCCCATGAATGATATTTGTAAATCTTGCCATCTTTGTAGATCTTTTTTTATTTCCTCTAGAGTTACTTTGTAATTGTTGTCATATAATTCATTATTGTTGTTAGTAATGTTAAGGCCCAAATATTTGACTTTTTTTACTATCTCTAAATTAGTGTTTTTTTGTAGCTCCATTCTGTCCTCTTTTGTACAGTTTTTTGTTATTAGTTTCGTCTTATTCATGTTTATTTTCAGTCCTGCTACCTTTCCATATCTTTGAATTGTTTGTAATAAAGCTTTGATTGTTGTCTTTGGTTCTTCCAAAATGTAGACCAAATCATCGGCAAATGCTAATAGCTTAAAGCTTTCGCCTTTCAGCTTAAGGCCCTTTATCTCATCACTTGCTCTCACTATATCGTTTAGTGTTTCAAGACCAAAAATAAAAAGTAAAGGGGAGAGTGGACAACCTTGTCTCGTTCCTTTTTCAATGGGTATGATCCAACCATGTACCATGTACTATTCTTGAAGGGTGTGGGAAATTGGATCTGGTGGTGCTGCGGTTAGGATCGGTCACTTGGTAGGTTAGTGCAGGGAAAAGGGGAAACAGATCCTGTGAGCACCATATCACCTCCCTTATTTTGGGGCAGGGGGTCCATCAGGCTCCACCTTTAGGTTGTGAGGCCCAGGGCAGGAAATGAGGACTGCCTTGGGACCAGCCTGGCGGGGCCTCCCCTCCAAGTTGTGGGGCTTGAGGGTGGGAGCTACATGGTGGTATCCCATTTGCTATGCTGGGTGGCATTTGGGGCAATGGTGGCTTGCCCAGCATATGGCAAGGAGGTGGTCTGGTGTGACCCCTGGCCTTGGCCTATTCCTGCACTTGAGAACTGTGGCTTATAGTTGAACCCAAACCTAGTATTTGTCTCTTTCTTCCGATGGGTTTTTTTTTCTTAATCAGTAACTGTACTTTTTGTGCTCTCTTTCTCATTCCTTGGAATTTAAGCACCACAAGTTTTCCTTTCAATCTCTGCTTCCAGAATTAAACAGACCACTTGGATGCAGTGTTCTCTCTTGTTCTTTGACTGTCAAAGTACACGGAACCCCTCACAGCAATCTTCACATAAATTGCACTGCTTGTCTTTTGGCTTTTGGGTAATCCACTGTGACTGGATTGTTTGACCTGTAGATGGCCAGGAACTGATAGATGGGATGGTAGAATGGAGTGGTTAAAAATAGACAATACAAAATATTATCTACTACTGCTTTCCACAGGACCCAAGCAAAAATGGGCACAACTATACAGGAACAGAGTAACAAACCAATTTCCAAGGGAGGAAACAAGCAGAATGAATAGTAAAGTAAAGGTAAAGGTTCCCTTGCTCAAAAGCCAGTCGAATCCGACTCTAGGGTTGCGGTGCTCATCTCCGTTCCAAAGCCAAAGAGCCAGCGCTGTCCGAAGACGTTTCCGTGGTCATGTGGCCGGCATGACTAAACACCAAGGCGCATGGAACGCTGTTACCTTCCCACCAAAGTGGTACCTATTTATCTACTTGCAATTTCTTGCATTTGAACTGCTAGGTTGGCAGGAGCTGGAACTAGAGATGGGAGCTCACTCCATCATGCGGCACCCGGGTCTTGAACTGCTGAACTACTGACCTTCCACAGCCTGCAGTTCAGCGTCTTAACCACTTGAGCCACCGCAGCTCCTAGAATGAATAGTACTTACAGTTAATTAAATGTTGCTGGTGTGTGATATAGGTTATTATACTTTATACCTATACTTTCATCCAAATGAATTGTTCTAGTTTATGGGTTGCCTCAATGGAATATCAAAACCCAGCAAGAACATTGATCACAAAAGCAAATCAATAAGAGTTTTGAAAGAATGAATTTATAGAGTGGATTATCCATTAACATAACTGAACACAAAAGCATGAAACCATAGTGTACAAATAAACATGGAACTTCAAGACCTTAAAACAAATTGTTCCCTTTGTAGAAAATTGCATATTTTCAGACAAAATCTTTCTAAAATGTTGAAAATACACTCATCAGGCTATCTATATATGTCTCTCAAAGAAAAGATCTGCTTGGTCTTACAAATGAAATTAGACTCCAGACTGTCTTAGCTAGAGCTGCTACCAGAGTGCCAGAAGTATCCCTGAATCTAACAAGCAGAGGGGTGCTGATGAAAACTCAGATTTTATTATTCCTTGTGAAAGAGTTCTTGGGGGGTGTGGTGAATAGCTTGGTGAAAAGTGCACTAGTGGCCTCAGACCAGGAGTCCCTGTGAGTGTACTGGGAACACCCTCCCTACTTTCTCCTTGGCTACTGGTATATACAACTTTTCCCAGCACCCATCCCGCTTAACTCTGCTGCCACCTTAGTGCCTTTCCATGGCCCCAACCAGACCGGCTTCTCCAGTTGCTACACTGTCCCCAGAGTCCCTTGGGAGCCCTCTCATCCCTCCTAAGTCCTTGCCCCAGAGTCTCCAGGTCCCTGAAGGTTAAAGCAGAAAGTGCCAAAACAGAATTACAGCTGAGAATCACTGGTGAGGAATGACACAGCTTTAAGGTTGATGATGAAGAAACAGAAGACAAAAGTAATGACTGGTGCGGAATGACAGAGCTTTAAGGTTGATGATGAAGAAACTAGGCTTACCAAATCTCGCCAAATTGCGGCGAAGAATCCGCATGTCTTCACAGAATCCATGCTGTGGGGACGGCAAGATGCATTGCACCGCCGTTGCCAGGACATGACGCTACGCGTCACTCTGGCAACAGGGCTGTTTGGAGCCCCGTTGCCAGAGCGACGCATAGCGTCAAATCCTGGCAACGGCAGGTGTAACGCGTCTCGCCGTCCCCGCAGCACAGATTCTGCGAAGACATACAATCCCCCGCTGCGACTTGGCAACCCTAGAAGAAACTGAAATTGTTAAAGATTTTCTATTCCTTGGCTCCATCATCAGCTGAAAGGGAGACTGCAACCATGAAGGAGGCTCAGGCTGCGATCTCACACACACTAAATAATCCACTTTCAATCCACTTTCCAACTGAATTTTGTCAGTTCACACAGTAAAATCCAGTTGGAAAGTACATTGAAAGTGGATTGAAAGTGCATTATTTAGTGTGTGTGACTGCAGCCTGAGACTGGGAAGGGCAGACATGAAGGAGCTAGAAAAGATCCTTAAGCGTAAGGATGTGTCACTGGCTATCCAGATCAAGGTATTTCATATCATAGTATTCTCCATTTCAATGGGGGTGAAAACTGGTGAAATGTGGTGCAAAGGTAATTCATATCATAGTATTCTCCATTACAATGTATGGGGGTGAAAACTGGTGAAATGTGGTGCTAGAGGGGAGATTTACAGATAAAGTGGACCACCAAAAAGACAAATAAATGGGTTCTAGTTCAAATGTGATGTTGCTTGCTTAGTAAAATGGATCGTTATTTTCTGTTTTTCAGATGATCACCTTGGAGATCTTGCAGAGTCAAATAGGTCTCAGAAGGTGCCGAGCATCATGCTAGAGGTAATTTTAAGTGATACCTTCAGGGAAAGGATTAGGGGATCCAATACTTCCATTTACTGAGTCTCATCTCTACCCACCATCCTAGGTTAATACATCCCACCTTGCCTTTTCTACTGTTACACTGTTACACCAACTTCTGGGCATGAAGCTACCCAGGCTAGTCATGTTGTTGGCCTCCAGAGAAATGTGGTTGCCCAGGACAGGCAAGTAGTAAAGGGTTCCTGCTCCAGCTGCTTGCTGATGCCAGTCCCTCAGGTACCTGTATCAGATGTTTTGCAGAAAGCAGCCAGCATAGCTTTGCTGAGTCTTGTTTTTCTTGAGCCCTCCAGTTTGACAGAAAATATTATACCAGCAGCTTAGCACTGAAAGAAGTTCCACTTTGCCGAGGATTCCAGGTTCACTTTCACTTTAACTAATCCTCAGACACCGCAGCTTTAATTGGAATGCCTGGAAAACACAACTGTCTGCTTTTCTAAATGATGGCCCACGAGATGGCACCCTTGGGCTATTTCTGACAATTAGAATTATCTGTGGCTTTGCCTGATGCAGGGGAAGGCGAGGAGTGTATGACAGGTCTTCTCAACATAGATACCTGTGGGTGTTACAATTCTGTTCTTGTGTCGGAGAAGCCTGCCAGCTGCACATTTCAGGAGTGTGATACACATGATCCTGTTTTGTCTGAACTGGGCAATGTGTGGATTTTCCATGCAGGTACAGCTTCCAGTCACAGCTGTGAATGTAAGCTGTACTCACAGAGAAAAGGCACACAACCCAAATTCACACATGAGAGGATAGCCTGCATCAGGTGCATTGTGGCACCCACCTGCTCCCAAATTTGATACAAGCAACTGGTAGGCTCCTGTAGCTTCTGCAGAGGTGCAGAGTGTGTGATTGAGAATGCATTCATTATTGGCCAGTCAGCATTACTATAATGATAATTTCACTTTAGTAAATGTGATAATTCTCATCTTTTTTCAAACTGCAGCCTATCTTTAGCCTTAACTGGAAGAGGGGATTCACATTTAATTTATTAATTGTATATGATAATGTCTTATTTTCTCCCACATCCTTTTCTTTTAAAAACACTCCTCCTAAACATACACAGCCACACCAAAAATGATGGCAGTAAGGCTGATGTGACTTGCTTTATATTGTGGACGAACCCTTTTATGTAGTCCAAACCACAAGCTGAAGAGCAATGCTTTTCAGGGAAGGGCCATGGTTCAGTGGCAGAGCATCTGCTTGATATGCAGAAGGTCCCAGGTTCAATCCCCAGCATCTCCAGTTAAAAGAACCAGGCAGCTGGTGATGTGAAAGACCTCTGTCTGAGACCCTGGGGAGCTGCTGCCACTCTGAGTAGACAATACTGACCTTGATGGACCAACTGTCTGATTCAGTATAAGGCAGCTTCATGTGTTCAGTGCTCTAAATTAATGATCTTCACTTAATCCGCATGAATTTAATGTATCCTGATGCAATTCGCACAAGCAATGCATCTATATCAGAGTTGCCTGCCTGTTATATTTGACTTGGGATACTAGGAATAGGACATGGTAAAAATCTGACGCTGGAAAATCCCACAAGAGCATCTGCCTAGCTCTAGATCCACCTCATTATCACTATGATCCATACTCTATCTGTGGTGCAGTCAGTGAAATAGCATAGACAGTGAGTGAGTGAAATAGAAATCATGGAGACATCAAAAGTGCACTGGATATGTGCCCCATGTGTACAACATGCCCATAGACTGTTGAAGGCTATGAAATCACTGCAAGGAAAGGTTTGGATTGAGGGGAGATGGTGGTATATAATCAGGGGGCTCGAATGGACCCAAAGGTCACATAGCCTAGTCCTTGGCCAAAGGCAGGACCTTCCATGCATGAAGCCCTCTGACTATTAATCCTCCCAAGCCAATCTCACCCAGTGGTCTATGAACAAAAACCAGGAGTGAACGAAGTGTTTTATACAGCAGTATTTGAATGGTTTTAGGAATTGTTCAGTATCACTTATCCATCTGACTCAAGCAAGTGAGCAACGTTGCATACTACAATGGAAAATAACCCCTTTCCTAGGTCACTCTAAGGTCCTTTCTGCACTTGGATCTCATCCCTGGTTTTATCAGAGTTCAACCCGGGACACAATACCTTGCATTTATCCCTGGTTATAACAGCATCCGTTTATCCTGGGACAAGTGTGGGGCGAAACCGGGGTGACCTCAGTGTAATGTGGAAACAAAAAATACCCTGAGATAATTACAGGGGTGGACTTGAGCGTAGTGTAGAATGTAAGCTCAGGGACAGGACTGAACCAGGATTCAAGGTCTAGTGCGGAAAGGACCATAGTCTGTCCAGGATGCTCACTTTGGAGCAGATCTGCCCATTGACCTTCATGTTTTTATTCATTCTTTTCCAGTTACTTTGGGGAGGCATTAAAATTATTACCAATGACTCAATCAGGGTTCAGGATGAAGAGGTGGCCTCGCTGCGTCCTGCAAAACGGTTACTCCAGCTCTTTCAACATGAAATTCCAAAACACCCGGCTGGGATTGAGGAGCACCTGGATCATCTTTCACAATCTGATATTCCTATAACTACAGATGAATTTGAGCAGCTTGTTTTGACTGCAGTTTACTGTGCTTACCAAGTTCGTGCTGTCCAAGGCCTGGAGAAAAACCTCTGGATCAACCTTTTCTCACAGTCGGTCACTGAAATCATCCGCGAGCTCTGCAAACAAGTCTGTCCTGTGGAATCTATGGATTCTGCTCAGCTTCTGGCCTCGAGGCCCTGGCAGGAAATGCCTTTCTATATTAGTGTACTGCAAAACTCCTACCAATCCAAGCTAACCATGAACTGAAGACCCTGAAGAAAGAGACTCTGAGGCAAAAAGGTCAATTATTAATCCTAGAACACTTAAATTAATATATACATTACTACAGAACTACTACATTTTAGGCCTATGGATTTATTTCATATTATTCAGGATTGTGTGCAGAAAGGTCACCTTTCCTGTTTTGTTTTCTCTAATATACCATAGACAGTGTTCCCTCTGAGTTAGTGTGAGCTAGCTCACAGTTTTCTAGCCTCCAGCTCACACATTCTTGTCTTAGCTCAGGAAGGATGGCTCCGGAGCAAACTAATTTATGCAGTAGCCAAATCGCTCGTTCACAACTTTCATGCCAGTAGCTCACGAAGTAGAATTTTTGCTCACAAGACTCCACAGCTTAGAGGGAACATTGACCATAGACCTCTTAGTTTAAAAAATTATATGCCCAACTCAAGGCTAAGTCTCTCTGCTGCGGTTCTCCTTATAGGATATGCAGTTCAGAAGGAGCATGGCTTTTCTCATCTGGCACCGGGAAACACCGAGCCCCTTGGTTAATGGGAATGAACGCATGAAGCTGCCTCATACTAAATTAGTTTGTTTGTTTTTCAGAGTCAGTATTGCCTGCTCTGACTGGCAGCAGCTCTCCAGGGTCTCTCACAGAGGTACTACCTGATTCTTGTAATGAGTTGTTGGGGATTGAATACTGCTTTCATTTGTTTCTGCTGTTCAGCACACAGCACCAACACCAGTATTCCCTCTAAGCTGAGTTAGTGTCAGCTAGCTCACAGTTTTTTAGCCTCCGGCTTACACATCAGGAAGGATGGCTCCAGAGCAGACTAATTTATGCAGTAGCCAAATCACTTGCTCACAGCTTTAATGCCAGTAGCTCACAAAGTAGAATTTTTCCTCACAGAACGCCATAGTTTAGAGGAAGCATTGACCAACACTGCAGATTATTTTCTGCAGATGCGCATAGCTTCTCTTATCACCATTCCATACAATAGCTGAAACAGTGATCATCCTTCTCCATCATATATATAATGCAATCATTGACTTTAATACTAAAGTTTCAGTTGATTAATCTGTTGGGCCAGATTTAATTGTTGAAGTTGTGAGTTAAGAGCATACTTGTTTATTTTCCCATCTATTGGTGTGTGACTGTAATAGAGAATGAAACAAAATTAAAGATGGCATTTCGTTTTATGGAAATTTATTTAAACTAGCCAGGGTTTGTTAATTAATTAAAAGGCAGATGATTAATGCTCTAATAGTATTTTATAATTAACCTTAAACCTAGCACATATATTCTTTTCTCCTGCATTGGTTAAGTCAGACATCTTGATGAAATACCACATTAAATATACAAGCAAAATCAGCACCTTTTGTCTCAGGGTTTTATTGAGTTCATTGTTTCATTACACGTGTCCCTCTCTCAAGACATTTCTCTGCATGTGCACAGGATATTATCCGCTCCCAAGTGCCTTGTAGAGAAGGCAGTCCTTTCTAAGCTCTTCCAGCATTTCTGTAGCAGTTTCTGTAGTCGCTCCTCTTTCCTCTGCCCCTACTACTTCTACCCCCCCCCACTACCTCATGCTTTATGCTAGAACCGAACAGCGATAATGAAGAAACACGTACCCTGCAAAAGTCATTCTACGGATGAGTGGGAGGAACAACAATGGCTCAGTAATCAGGACACAAGCGTGCAGCAGAAGGACTCCACTGAACATACAATAGCATGCGCTGAACAATGTCATTTAAATGATGATGTCTGTCCAGGACCTGCTCCAGAGTCCACTGCATCCTGGCTTCTCTTAAGCTCTTTCCATGTTCAGTTTTTAGTTCCTTGATCCCAGAGACATGTTGGCATCGGGAGGTGGCTTCGGCTTAGTCTCAGGGTAGACTAGGAACCCAGTGAAGGTAATGTACTTGCCATGGTTGCTATAAGCCCCATAGCCATCATGCTGGTGGCTGTAAAGCCAGATGGTGTCATCATATTGCAGAGGCAGCATGATGCTCTGGCTCTGCATCTCACGCCGTTTGGAGTGGTTGTCATCATAGATCATAGCCTGTACTTCATTGTGGTTCTTCATTAGTTTCACTGACATGGTCTTAAAGGGCATCTTGCCAATTGTAAAGGAGAAGTAGTAGGCGCCTGGAACACGGCATGTGAAGATGCCACTTGAGGAGTTGAAGTCTTTCCCAATGTTCACAAATTCTGTGTCAAATGTGATGGGCTCGTGCTGTGTCTGCTTCTCATCTGATCCCAGGAGGCTTTCTGAACGGGCAGCAGAAAACGCTGAGCGAGGGTCCTGCGATCGGCTTGGCTGGTCAGAAACCACATGTCTCTCTGAGATTTCATTCTGGTTCACAGAAAGATGCTGAATTGTGTGAGGGGGAGGCCCTGAAGCATCTCCTAGTTCTTGGGAGCTGAGGCTGTTTTGAAAATAGCCAGAAGTGTCTGGATAGATGAGGTACCCGTTAAAAGTTGTATAAGGGCCCACATTGCTATAAAGGGCATATTTGGGGTCTCCATGTAAACGCAGCCAGACTGTGTCACCATAATCCAACTGTAACATGGCACTCTGACTGGCCACCTTCCGCTCTTTACGGTGATGTTCATCATACACAATTGCTTGCACCTCATTCTTATTCCTCATCAGCATGACTGACAAGTTTTTCTTGGGGTACTTCCCAACTGTGAAGGAGAAGTAATAGGCACCAGGGATACGACACCGGAATAATCCAGCCTTGGGATCAAAATCACCACCAATGTTCACGTACACCTTGTCAAAAGTGATCACCATTTCGGTGCTTCCTTCCATGCTGCTGGTTCGAGCAACAGAGAAAGCAGATCGGAACTCAGTTCCAGAATCTACAGGGAAGCCATAGGTGAGGGGACAGGCTACTTGACACAGGAAGCCAAACAGAAGCTGAGCTTTCAGTTGAGTTAGCATATCTGAAAAGAAAACAGATAACATTTTAACTGAAGCATTTGCAAATTACCCTACAACTTGAGAATAGGACCAGAATTGCTGTTTTTGATTTTCTGGTCAAACAGGATCAGATTCTTCATGAGTTAAGTAACATACGTAATCTATATACTACACACAGGCTGTGACAGTCCATGGACAAAACAGACAGAACTGGCACCAACAGCAAGAGGAGAGGGCAAAAAAAAAATCACACATACAGCGTGTATTGCCTTCATCAACATTCAGGAATCTTCCTCTACTTCAGATAATATGGATTCCACCAACCATGAGAAAATGCCTTTACCATTTTAGTACTACCACCACTCCTCGAGTGGGAGAAGAGACTCCCTAGACAATAGCCCATCATCCCCTCAGCAATGCTCCCTCTAAGCTGTGAAGTCTTGTGAGCAAAATGTCTACTTTGTGAGTTACTGGCATTAAAGTTGTGAGCAAGCAATTTGGCTGCTGCATAAATTAATTTGCTCTGGAGCCATCTTTCCTGAGATAAGACAAAAAGGTGTGTGCTGGAGGCTAAAAAAACTGTGAGCTAGCTCACACTAACTCAGCTTAGAGAGAACACTGCCCCTCAGTACAGGTTAAAAAGTTTTCGCAGTCTTTCCATGCTTTGTAAACAATGGTGGATTGATGGACCACAAATCTGTATCAAATTAACACCTTAATTCACAGGTGACACATAAACTGCAGGAAGGTTGAAATGCAATTGAAAATCAACCTTCCTGCAGGGCAGAAACTGAATCAAATAATGCTTAAAACTGCTTTTCTGCCTTTCACCCATGCCTATTTACTTATTTATTTAGAATATTCCATTGCTGCTTCTCCAGGGAATCTGCTCAGTGACTTTGTTACTGCCTCTATAGCTCTGCAATAAAGTATAACCTTTCTGATAAACGTGTACTCAGTTGTTGGCTGTGGAACCTGACATTTCACCAATTATCAACAAGATGATTGGGTTGAGCTGCTACCCCTGGCCGAATTCTGTTACAACAACACTTGCCATTTGTCTACTGGACTGTCCACCTTTAAGGCTTTATATGGATACGACAGTTCCCCGGTGCCCTTTTTGGAGGGGTCAAGTGACTTGGGGTCGGGGGATGCCGCACACTGGTGCCAGCGGTTGAAAGACTCATGGCCACTCCTTTGTAAAACTTTGAATGCGGCGAGGGAGGCTTACAAGACTCAGGCTGACAAGAGGAGGGTGGAGCGTTGGGCTCTGCAGCCTGGATATTCAGTGTATGTGTCTACTAAAAACATTAAAGTCTTACGTCCTAGTCGGAAACTGGGATGGAAATACCTTGGCCCCTTCAAGGTGAAAAGAGTGATTAATGATGTTGCAGTGGATCTTGATCTTCCTAAAAACTTGAGAAATTTGCATTCCGTGTTTCATTTCAGCCTCCTGAAGAGGGATTCAGGGTCGAGCCCTTGGTGACCATCACAACTGGTGCCCCCTCCTATTATGATTGAGGATGAGAAACATTATGAAATCTCCAAGATATTGGACTCTAAAGTGAAACGTGGACAATTGTTTTATTTGGTGGAATGGCTTGATTTTGGACCCCAGCACCCTGAGTGGGTGGAAGTAGGGGATATTCGGGCCCCTAGACTGCTGCGGGAGTTCCACCGGGAGTTCCCGGATAAACCGGGACCCCCTCCAGGATGGACTGGGAGATCTCCTGGGCTGGGCGGGAGAAGCTGAGTTTCGAGGGGGTAGAATGTCAGCTATGCTGCCATGATGGGGAGGGATCCATTCTCTTGATCTGTGGGCCAGATGCTGCTTCTTTACTTTTGCTTCTGTAATGCTGTCTTATCAATGACCTTGCAGGTTGCCAGTGTAGTGTCTGGGATGCATGGAACCGTGGGAGCGCTTTCGGTTCCCAGCTGCGGCCTCTAATGGCCTGGGACCCCTTCTCCGGCACGCAGGAGTCAGGCTAATTGGCCTATGGAAAGGGGGGAGGTGCATACAAATACCCTATATCCCATTATGCTTGTAGGAATGTTGCTAGCATTGAAGTACCACTTCCCGTCCGCAGCAATTTTGTAATTTTACAGAAATTCAGTGCATCTTAGAGGTAGGACATGTTACCATCAAAATAGACACACCAAACATCACAAATTATTTCGCAAATACATAAATTACATAAATTTCAAGTAAAACTAAACCGGAAAACAAACCCAATCCATACATAGTAGCACAACTGAGTAACTAACAGATTAAAACCCAGTGTTACAAGATACTTCCAAACAGGAGCAACAAAAGTTTTAAGTGTTCTGGAAATCCTGATGGCCCGAAGCTTGCAATCCACTATTTGGATCACTGTCTTGACATACCGAGGGGGCTTGCGTGGTTCAATGAGGCTGGAGGCTATGCCGTGGAGGGCCACCCAGGATGGACAGGACACAGCAGAGAACTCAGGCAAAACGTGATCCACTGGAGAAGAAAATGGCAACCCACTCCAGTATCTTTGCCAAGAAAACCCCATGGACGGTAACAAAAGGCTAAAAGATATGACACCGGAAGATACTGGAGTGGGTTGCCTCAGGTTGGAAAGTATCCAATATGCTACTGGGGAAGAGGGCAAGTACAAGTAACCCCAGAAAGAGTGAAGCAGCTGGGCCAAAGCTGAAAGGACGCTCAGTTGTGGATGTGTCTGATGGTGGAAGGAAAGTCCGATGCTGCAAAGAACAATACTACATAGGAACCTGGAATGTAAGATCTATGAATCAAGGTAAGTTGGATGTGGTAAAAAATAAGATGGCAAGACTGAACATCGACATCTTGGGAATCAGGGATACAATCTCAAAAACGACAGAATGATCTCAGTCTGAATCCAAGGCAAACCATTCAACATCCCAGTAATCCAAGTCTATGCCCCAACCACTGATGCAGAAGAGGCTGAAGTGGACCGGTTCTATGAAGACCTACAACACCTCCTAGAACTAACACCAAAAAATGATGTCCTCATCATCATAGGGGACTGGAATGCTAAAGTAGGAAGTCAAAAGGTAACCGGAATAACAGACAAGTTTGGCCTTGGAAAGCAAAATGAAGCAGGGCAAAGGTTAACAGAGTTTTGTCAAGAGAACACACTGGTCATAGCGAACACCCTTTTCCAACAACCTAAGAGACGACTCTACACATGGACATCACCAGATGGGCAACACCGAAATCAGATTGACTATATAATTTGCAGTCAAAGATGGAGAAGCTCTATCCAGTCAGTAAAAACAAGACCTGGAGCTGACTGTGGTTCAGATCATGAGCTACTCATTGCAAAATTCAGACTTAAACTGAAGAAAATTGGGAAAACCACGAGGCCATTCAGGTTTGACCTAGATCGCATCCCTGATGAATATACAGTAGAGGTGAAGAATAGATTCAAGGGTCTGGATTTGATAGATAGAGTGCCTGAAGAACTATGGACAGAGGTTCGTGACATCGTACAGGAGGCAGCAATCACCACCATACCAAAGAAAAAGAAATGCAAGAAAGCAAAATGGCTTTCTGATGAGGCTTTACAAATAGCAGAGGAAAGAAGGAAAGCGAAAGGCAAAGGCGAAAAGGAAAGATTTACCCAACTGAACGCAGATTTCCAGAGAACAGCAAGGAGAGATAAGGAGGCCTTCCTGAATGAACAGTGCAAAGTAATAGAAGAAAACAATAGAATGGGAAGGACTAGAGATCTCTTCAAGAAAATTGGAGAAATCAAGGGAGCGTTCCATGCAAAGCTGGCCATGATAAAGGACAAAAACGGTAGGGACCTAACAGAAGCAGAAGAGATTAGGAAAAGATGGCAAGAATACACAGAAGAACTATACAAGAAAGACCTCGATGTCCTTGACAACCACGACGGTATAATCACTGACCTCGAGCCAGACATCCTGGAATGTGAAGTTAAATGGGCCTTAGAAAGCATTACTAACAACAAAGCTAGTGGAGGTGATGGTATCCCAGCTGAGCTATTCAAAGTCTTAGAAGAGGATGCTGTTAAAGTTCTGCACTCCATTTGCCAGCAAATTTGGAAAACGCAACAGTGGCCACAGGATTGGAAAAGATCAGTATACATTCCAATCCCAAAGAAGGGCAATGCCAAGGAATGTTCAAACTATCGCACAATTGCACTCATATCACACGCTAGCAAGGTCATGCTCAAGATCCTACAAGCTAGGCTTCAACAGTACGTGGATAGAGAACTACCAGAAGTACAAGCTGGGTTTCGAAGAGGTAGAGGAACGAGAGATCATATTGCCAACATTCGCTGGATTATGGAGAAAGCAAGAGAGTACCAGAAAAATATCTACTTCTGCTTCATTGACTATGCTAAAGCCTTTGACTGTGTGGATCACAACAAACTATGGCAGGTCCTTAAAGAGATGGGAGTACCAGACCACCTCACATGTCTCTTGAGAAACCTGTATAAGGGCCAAGAAGCGACAGTTAGAACCGGATACGGAACAACTGATTGGTTCAGCATAGGAAAAGGAGTACGACAAGGATGTATACTGTCACCTTGCTTATTTAATATATATGCAGAGTACATCATGCGAAATGCTGGCCTGGATAAGCCTTTGATTGTGTGGATCACAACAAACTGTGATCTTAAAGAGATGGGAGTACCAGACCACCTCACATGTCTCTTGAGAAACCTGTATAAGGGCCAAGAAGCAGCAGTTAGAACCAGATATAGAACAACTGATTGGTTTAGAATAGGAAAAGGAGTATGACAAGGATGTATACTGTCACCTTGCTTATTTAATATATATGCAGAGTACATCATGCGAAATGCTGGCCTGGATGAATCACAAGCGGGAATTAAGATTGCTGGGGAAAAGATCAACAACCTCAGATATGCAGATGATACCACTCTAATGGCTGAAAGTGAAAAGGATCTAAAGAGCCTCTTGCTCAGAGTAAAAGAGGAGAGCGCAAAAGTGGGCTTGAAGCTCAACATCAAAAAAACTAAGATCA